GCTGATATGAGCATTAAAGGTGGCAAATATTTGAATCGTAAAGGATGCCTAAATCTTTTATTCACTTTTTCTAAGAGACTGTTAAGAAGGGAATATATGTAATTGTAGGTTTTTACGTTTTTGGTGAAAGAGATAAATTTACATTTAGGGATGCTTAATTGCAATTTATTGATTAAACAGTAGTTAGATAACCGGTCAAGATCTTCCTGTAGCTTCTCACAATCATTAAGGGACTTTACACGTCAATAAACTTTCAGATCATCTGCATATAACAAAAAATTACTATTTATAAAACAAGACTGAATATCATTTATATACAATGTGAAGAGCATCGGACCTAGTATAGATCCCTGTGGTACACCTGAGGATACTAATTTTTCGCTAGAGGAGAATCCATTGACCACAACTTTTTGGGTCCTATTAATAATGTATGAAGAGAACCACCGCAATAAGTTTCCACGTATACCATTGAACGCAAGTTTTTGAAGAAGGATGGAATGATCCACTTTATCAAAAGCTTTACAAAAGTCTGTGTAAACGGTATCAGTTTGTATTCGATTGTCCATATTATCAAACAGAAAGTTTGTATATAAAATAAGATTACTGATGGTCGATCGGTGTTTTACGAAACCATGTTGTTCTGGAATTAGTAAGTTGTGTAAACTCGGATAAATTGAATTATTATGTACTAAGCGTTCAAGGACTTTTGATAAGGCAGAAAGTAAGGAAATGGGTCTATAATTAGTCACGTCCGTTTTAGAACCGTTTTTAAACACTGGGGTTATATTCGCAGATTTCCAGACTGTGGGCACTAAACATTCACGCAAACTGCGGTTATACAAATAGAACAGAGGTACGCTTATTGAGCTAGCAGCATGTTTGAGGAAAAAAGGTGGGATACCGTCTGGTCCTGAACTTTTAGTTATATCTAAGTTTTTTAGACATTGTTCTATTGTGTTTTTTGAAAATGATATATCTGAGATAATAAAGTTAGTGTTTGATGAGCAAGGAAGTGAATCTATGTCGTACGTCATCAGTGAGCTGTTCTCATAAACTGAAGTAAAATAGTTAGAAAAAAATTCACATATGTTCTCAGGATTATCGGTTTCATTTCCATCGTGAGACATTACGTTGGGAATACCACATTTTTTTATTTTTTACAAAAGACCAAAATACTTTGATGTCTTTCTGCAAACTTGTTTCAATTTTACTTAAATATGAATTAAAGCACTGCGCGGAAAGTTGTTTAAATCTTTTTCGAAGTACAGAGTATTCCTCATAATCTACTTGGTTAGAAGATTTTTTCCACTTTATCCATGATTTTTCTTTATTTTTAAATATGTGTATTAGTGGGCGTGTAAACCATATTGGAAACTTTTTAGATTTGGTTGGGCGTAAAGGTACGTGTTTCCTAATGATTTTATATATCTCTTCATAAAAGTGGTTGGTGGCAGTGTCTAAGGACGGCACATCTAAAATACTTGCCCAGTCTACACGTTTAATATCGTCATTAATATCTGCATATTTACCCTCGGAGAATCGGTATTTTGGTAAAGTTTTACGCGCCAATTGTATGTATTCTACGTTGAAAAGTATCTCGGCGTTAAGTGGTGGATAAAAGGCGTCTATCGGAACTAAATAGTTTAGTGGTGACTTACAAGTAATTGTATCATTATTTGAAATGAAAAGATCTAAGATGCGATTCTTATTATTTTTAATTAAATTAAATTGTTTGCAACCTACAATTGATAAAAAATTTGAAACGAGCAAAGTCATTGGATTTTTGCAGTAATGTGTATTAGGAGTACATGTACTCCCGTCATACTGCAGCCACTAAATGTCGGGTAGATTAAAGTCCCCGAAAATATATATTTTTGTATTTTCGTTGCACATAAGCTCATTTTGGAGAGAATTTAAAAATAATTGGTAAGCAGTTAAGGGTTGATTTGGTGGTATGTAAACACCGCCAACAGCGTGATATCGTTGTGTTGCTTAGAATAAAACTTAAGTATCACATAATCAATATTAGATGGGACATTTATAATTTCGTCTTCACAGTGAAAAGTGGGCTTTAAAATACATCGAGTGATTATTAGCCCCATGCGCACCGCAATCAATACACCTCCACCGTCAGTTTTACCACATAACACTCGATTTCGATCGCATCGGTATACTACATAACGCGAATCAATGAATTCACTATCTGCAATATTCGAGGTCAACCATGTTTCCGTGAGAATTATTATATCATAATGTTCCAACAATATATTATTGAATAAAGTACTCAACTTTGTCCTCAAACCTCTACAATTCAGATAGTATACCTGTATTTTATAAGCCATCTTTATAAATAGTATACGTTTTAAGAATTACTAGTAATAATTTAAAAAAATAAAATATGAAAAAGTGTAAAATTCGAAATAAAAAACATATGGAACTATGTGCAAAAATTGTTCTGTACAAGATATTTTAAAAGTAACTTAGTTGGTAATAATTGTATTATGTTGTTTGTTAGAAAACATAAATCGTGAATTGTATTAAAATGTAAACACAAAATAGTTATTGTGACGGTGGCCGCAGAAAAATATATGTGGTAAAAGAATTGTCCCAGTCGTAAACAACACATAGAGTAATGCAACACTAAGAGCTTGCAAATAAATCTTATAAGAGGACGTACCTTATTCATATTATTTTTAAATTTGTTACGTGGTATCATTATGTTTACTTTTCGATAATTGATGTTGTTATCTTCGTACAGCATAAATAACAGATGTTTCGCTTGCACAAACCTATTACTAATAACTATTTCACAAGTATCCTTTGTAAGTTCACAAGTAGCCTAAGTATTCCATCATTTGGCATCCTTTGGTTTCATTTTCGATAATATATCTTGTACCCTTCGTATAGCAAAAATAGCAGATGTTTCGCTTGCACGAACCAGTACAGTTCAGCGCTTGATCCACACAAATCTATACCCGTTCTGTTTTGCAGCTTCACGAGTTTGACGAAACAAATTCTTACTTTGAATAGTTAAGTGCTCATTGATATATATATTTTGAACGGCTCCATACATATTTATTTGCTCTGTTGTGATTCCTTTTGATAATCTTGCTGCAGAAACAAAGTTGTCACGCGTTGCTTGATTGAAAAATTTTACAATTACGTTCTTCGGGCGTGAAATCTTAGGGTTCATATGAGGTACACGATGAATTGTAACTATGTCTTTAGTAGAAATTGGTTGCTTTATGACTTAGCAATATTCTCCAGTATTTGTATTAAGTTCTCGCTTCGTTTTTCAGGCAGATTACTTATCTCAATATTACAATTTCGAGATTTTTGTTCAAATTCAGCCAGTTTAGTTTCTAATTCAGAGATTCGTGCCTCGAAGACCGGTGTGGATTTCAGCTGCTGTTCTATTCTAGATACGCGCTTGCTGACATCATGAGTTCTTTTGTGTAAATCATCGTATTTATCACTGATAAATTTCAGCGTAGTTTTAATTTCGTCGAAGTCATTAAGAAGGGTATTAAATTTTGTTTCTTGTTTTGAGAGCCAGGAATCAAGCTTGTTAAGTAAACTGCTTTAAAGAATTTTAAATTCTTGTTGTAGATCGGAAATTGCAGGAAATCACGCTACTACCTTTCCGAAATGTTATATAAGAAGGAGGTGATTCATTTTCAATAAATGACTCGTTGACACTCATTTCTCCGGGTCTTAAATCTTGTTCATTTTCACACTCTTGCGTAAATGTACTGTTTACAGTTGTCATGTTTATAACTTGACTGCTCTGTTATGAAATTAATCTGTGCGAAGTCTCCAACGATGCGTTCGAGTGATGTCGATATAGCATTAACGTTAAACTCTATATATAGCATTAACGATGCTTTACACGAGACTCACACATACGCACGGCACAATGTAATTAGTTAAACGACCGACTCGCGCCGACACTTAAGACGGAATGATATGCAGGAAGTCGATGGATGCAGGTGGCTCAGGACCGTGCTTTGTGGCATTACTTGGGGGAGGCCTATGTTCAGCAGTGGACTTGTGAAGGGCTGTAATGATGATGATGATGATGCATCGATAGCATGTGGTGGGATTAGGGTATCTGATAGGCAAGTCACACGTGCCTATATATATATATATATAAATATATATATATATATATATATAAAAAAAAATATATAAAAAAAGTATTCCGGTCAATTTTAGTCTTTTTCTCAGTGTTTGTGCTTACTGTAACCCCATGAACTTCTTGGAGCTCCGTTCTTAACTCAGAAGAAGTTAAAATCCGGTTTCTAAGCACGCTGGTTATGATGAACCGGTCGTCTCTGGCCACAGCTTTTGTTTCACGTCCCTGTCCTGCGAGTCTGGTAAACTGTAAGGTCTACTGATACCACTTGACAACTCGGGACCACAGATTTAGATGCTCGCCATATTTGAAGCCCAGTTTCAATTAAAATAACAGCCCTAGCAACTTGAGTGGCATTTAAATATGGCATTCTCAATTTACTTACAGTAAGAATTCACACTTAACACGATAAACAAGGCAGTTAAGACAAAAAAACCTAAATTTTCAACTTAAATTCAAGAGTTGTCATAATTTTTCGCAGTATAAAAGAACGCTTTATTACCTAATAATTTCATAAAAACGAATGATATTCGAAAAAATAAAACAATTGCAAATTTTATTATTTTTAATAGCATTTAAGTACTAATGTTTGTAGTCAGTACGACACGATAATTACGACAGAGATAAAATTAAGCATTTTTGTTGCGTTCCTCGAAATTTGTTTAGAAGTGTATTTGGGTACCATAAAGTTGTTAAAAAGTAACTCGTTAATATTACATAAGTATTAAAACAAAGACAAAAGATGTTATAAAATTGGGAACATAACAAACGCCCACCAGTAGGTACTCTGGCAATCTACTCTGTTACTGGCCAGAGTCTGCTTTAAACATCTTATAACTACTATGATATCGCTATTTATTCACAGAAATCAACGGTTGCTCGAATTCATCAAATTATGATAGTTCAGAGGACACAGCAGTTGGAGGCCTCAGCGAAAGCGAATATATCAGTACTGCCGGCACGCATGAACTGGGTATGCATTTTATGCGTATATAAATAATTTCAACCTTATTTTCATTCGCTTGAGGACATTTTTTTTGCACGATTCACAGAAGTGGAGCAAGTACCCCCGGATGACATATTGGATCCATCTGTCTTGAGTCAGATTCCAGATGAGGCGTTTACGGAATTTTTTAATCAAGGTATTTTAGTGCTTTTTAAGTAAAGTAAAGTTACAGCCTATATACGTCCCACTGCTGGGCACAGGCCTCCGCTCATTTCTGAGAGGGGTTTAGGGCAAGGAATTGTCCGCCGCGCTGCGTCTTCGAAATATATTTTTTTATTTATTTCTCTGACATGCAGGTTTCCTCACGATGTTTTCCTTCACCGCCGAGCACGTGGTAAATCAGCACTTAAAATTGCAATTAACAATTTCATTGGTGCCGGCGGGGATCGAACCTGATTTGCTCGCGTACTGTGAAATTTACAGATTACTATACAGACTCTACGATTCATCTTCGTAACTAAGATGAACCGTACGAGGCGTAAGATTTTTTTTAATTTGTTCTTGCGATTGTCGTCCAAATTTTTAGTTCAGTGTAATTAAATTCATTATTACTATCACTACAGTCCATCAGAAGTCTACTGCTGTCAATATATACATCTATCGAATATATGCGTGTCAGATCATCAAATCACCCAACAGTGTCCTTGCCAATACGATGTTGCCACTTGAGAAATTTTCTTCCCGATCGCTTGTCGGTTCTTCTATAACTATTACTAATTTTATTACTAATTACTTATTAAATTGGTAATCGAAAATATTCAATAAAATATTTTTCTCATGTTTTGGAACTTTTTTTATTTGCATCATTTTAAAAGTTTAAGGTAAAGTTGACTTTATTGATAACTGCTTTATTAACTTCAGACTTAACTTAAGACGAAGAACATCGTCATAATCATTATCATACTATATTCGTGCATGATCCATCTTGTTAAATATATTTATTTCTTCTGGTAAATGGTAAATGTAATCTGTTTTAGCGGAAGGAGGCACGTCATTCGAGGAAGGCTCGGAACTGGCGGCCGCTTTGGAAGCCGTGCTCGATGAACGGGCATTAGACACTATCGCTGACGTGTTCACTCCGAATTCACACGTTGCTAAGAACAAGGTACTTATATACGTACGTATACGTGTCGACCAAGGCGTTAGTTAACGTTTTGTCAGTTGATAGTCACGCGACTTAGGGTTGATATGTTGATTTTTATAGTTTTATATAGCTTTAAAGATCTTGGCTAAATCCGCTGGCAGTGTTATTATTTGCACCACGTTTCTGAATGTGAACATAACTTCCTATTTTTATAAGCAAATTGATGCACATGCACATACAGTTGGAGGCCTCACACCAAAGTTCAGGTATCGAGCAGAATTGTTATCCATAGTCACAGAAAATTGTCGTATAAGCAGATAATCAGAATCCTTTGATAAGCACTAGTCACACAAGGAACTAAAAATGACAGAGCCCATAAACAGAAGTAGTTGACGAAGTGGAAAATAACGGTAGTAAATAACGACAAGTTTTTGTTTTTTTGTTAGGGATGTTGTCGTACTCGAATTGTACTGCGATTTCATGTATTTAAGTGGAATCAATTAAGACTGCTGTATTCGTAGCATAAATATTATTATTGTTGTGTTCCCATTCGTCTTCGCGTGTGAACCATTAGTGGAAATGAGTAATGAGGGCTTCAATGGTGATATAAATCTCAAGTTTTTTATATCCCTTCATAGGCAGGCCTTGAGATATTATCGTCATCAACTGTCTGCTGGGTTAAGCTGTCGCCAAAATCTCCCAACATCTTCGCAATGTGGCGCATTGGCATATTGTGAAGTGTTTTGTGAACAAAATACACATCAGACTAGGCTGTTTGGTATAAGACCTGTGTCTGCCTTAATAGGGTATTTGCACCATGTAAAAAAATGTTATTATCGATATCTATAATGGTGATACAAATAGACTTTAATAATTCTATCAAAAATTTTTCGCCATTGTTCTCTTAGTAAAGTGAAGGCTACAATCTATACCGACGATGTCTGCCCCGCCACACGAGTGTACATTGCCGGACACGTTCACATGATCTCGAAATATATTTTTATATTTTATAGACATGCCGGTTTCCTCACAATGCTTTCCTTCACCACCGACTTCGTGTAATTCAGCGCTTAATATTGCAATTAATACAATCTTTGGTGACGGCAGGTATCGAACCGGGATTGCTCGCATACTCTAAAATTTACAGTCAGCGCTTAGTCCCAGATCTACCACGGCAAAGTGTTTCATGGAAAATAAAATGGTACACAAATATTCATCTATATAGGTATAATAGTAGTACTTTCCAAGAATGCGTCAGCTATTAGCCCCCCTGTACTACATATCTCTATTTAAGTTTATTATTATTTCATTACTAATTGTTAATATCGACGAATTGTTGGTATTAAAATATCTTTTACCTAGTACTATCTACTAATAGGAATTAATTACTTACTAGCTTCAATTTAGAGTTTTAATTTTTTCACGCGGAACCCTAATTCGTTTTCTCGTGTTCTAAAATAAAAAAAGCCTATGTTACTCCTCATAACATCAGCTATCTGCCAGTCCCGTCAAAATCGGTCCAGCTATTTCCGAGTTTAGCCGGAACAAAGAGGGTCTTGTTCTTTATCTCACGCCCACAATAGTAATCAACTAATTACTAGCCCCCTTTCCTATACCACATCTCATTGGGTTCTGAAAGCCACGCGGTGGGCGTGACCTCTGATAAAACGTTCAACTTAGAACTTTAACCCCTCTCTCAAAAGAAAGTGGTTGATGACTAAGATCACGGGCCCGTAAGGAATGTTCCGGCAATGGCCGTGTAGTGGCGGTAGAGAATATCCACTACCCCATATCTTCCCGTGGGTATCGTAAAAGGCGACAGAGGGAAACATGCAGGAGATGGGCAGCAGCATCTTCCTGATAAAAGCAACTATATAACAAAAAACTGCGGTTGCCAACCCGCTCACTAAGCGTGGCAACTAAGGCAATATACCCCCCATAAGCAACGACGCAAATAGACGGCCCCCAGTCCCCGGCGGCCGCGCTATTCCTGGCTACGGTGGCGACCATGGTAACGGCGGGGCAGGCGGTGCTAAGGATCTCCAGTCGAGGTTCGGTTGCCACCTAAAACGACTCGACCTGGCAACATACAACGCACGCACACTGAGGACTGAGGAGATCTTGGAGCTTTTTTATAGAAGTGGGGGCAAACGAGCATACGGTTCACCAGATGTTAAGTGATTACCGCCGCCCATGAAGAACCGCAACACCAGGGGAATCGCAATGCGTTGCCGGCCCTTTAGAAAGGAGTAAACTCTTTTCTTGAAGGTCCCTAGGTCGTATCGGTCCGGAAAAATCGCCGGTGGAAAGCTATTCCACAGAGAGGTTGTACGCAGAAGTAAACTCTTAGTGAATCGTACAGTGGTGGACCGCCAAGCATCCAGATCGTGTGGATGGTATCGGGAAGTTTGCCGCGTATTGCGTTCATGAAATTTGGCGGCTGAGATTAATCCGAACAATTCCTCTGAGCACTCCCCGTGATACATCCCCATAATACGCAAAGAGATGCAACATCTCTTCGCAATGCCAGTGAATCGAGCCAATCGGAAAGCGACAATTCGAACCGCTCTGTGCTGGATGCGGTCAAGTGGAAGGAGGTGGCACTGGAGAGACCGAGCTCAGAAATGGAAACAGTATTCCATGTGTGGCCGAACCTGCGCCTTGTAAAGTTGCGGGTGGTGTACCGGCATGAAATACTGTCCCGCTCTGCTGAGCATGCCAAGCTTTTTAGAAGCCAATTTGGCCTTCTCTTCCAAGTGACCACGAAACTGCACGTCACTCGATATGTCGTCGCCGAGGATTCCGATACTGGCTAAAGCAACAAGAGGAGTGTCTTGAAACTTGAAAGATACGACAAAGGGGTTCTTTTTAGCGGTTAACGCGCCAACTTGTGTCTTCTGAGGGTTAAACAGTACTAGATTTAGTCGCCCCCTATCCGAGACTTTGTTCAGCAAAGACTCGACTTCAGACGCGAGTTTGTTCCGGTACTCTGAGACGTTTTCCCGAGAAATATTGGCACGGCCGGTGTACAGAGCATCACCAGTGCTGTCATCTGCATAGCAATGAATGTGACCACTTTGCAACATATCATTGATATGCAGTAGAAACAGCGTTGGTGATAGCACACAGCCTTGTAGAACGCCAGCATTAATAGGCTTGTAATCGGAGCTTGCATCCTCTACGAGCTTAATGCTCAGAATCAGCAACAACGTTGGGATGAGAGTTCGGTGAGAAGCAAACCCGCCCAAGGGAATACATTACAATACGCAGAAAGACCGCATCCCATAGAGTAGAGTAATATATACAGAAATAGAGAGCCATCTCCTAGGATTTTTTGTCACCCAATATGAATAGTGTCGCCGTCTGGTATCATATCCCTTGAACTAATCTCAATATCATGTTGACTATAGCTTATAGTTGCTATCTCTTAGTGTGAGACATAGATGTATGTAGTTATGTATATACAGCTATCTATACTATAGGCGGTTATATTTATATTTTAAGGGATTAGGGTTCAATTAAAGACTCATTATAGATTTCAGCAATATTAACATTTATTTTTGTTATATATATTTAACATACACGATGTAAAAGCGTCTATTCCGCAAAATACAACACCAAACCAAAATAAACCACCGGGTTACCGGAATGATAAATGAAAGCGTCTATTTCGCACAACATTACACAAACATACAATGTTGTTCCAGCATTAAAATCTAAACAGACAACAAGAAACAGAGAGCTAATCCAACTCAACCAAACGTATTGTAGCAACATCCGAAAATCACTTATAAACTATAATAAGACAACAACTTGCTCAGACGCCGGTAGCCATTATGTCATAATATAAAGTTGCTACTTGCCAGTTCGAGAATAACCAGAATTGGTGTAGTCGCCATCTAGCGCACCTTTTAGAATTTAATGTTCGAAAGTTTATGCGGATATAGTACAAGATGGCACTAGTGTCTTTGCAAATTATTGAACCCCAACCTAAAGTATGGAAGTGTACCCTCCTGCCGCATCCTATCCAAATCGGCTGACCTATAGTGCCAAACACGGCGGCAGCCTGCAAAATGCAACCGCCATTTCAGTGTGAGTGGCACCACACTCCGGACAAGACAATGGTCCGAGGAACCTAAAGGGGCGTTGACGGAAATCTGAAATCCTTCTGGATGAGAGGTTAGCAAAAGGTCCAACAGGGAAGGTGCTTGATACTCTACATCTGAAATCCGCGTAGGCGAAGTAACCAGTTTTGTCAGACCATATGCCAAGGCAAAATCATGAAGAGATCTCCCCGCATGATCTGTTAAACGTGAACCATGCCATTCGGCGTGGTGGGCGTTAAAATCGCCGAGGATCACTATCTGTGCGGAAGGGATCTGCTGTAGCAACGAATCTGTAGTCATTTGGACGTGGGCGAAGAGTCGGTCTGTTTCGACATTACCGCTATGGGACCTAAAGAGGCACCCGGAGACGCGCGGATGCTTGTCGCTGTCTACGCGTAGGCAAAGGATGGACAGGTCCAAACCTTCAAGACTGCCGAGGCGTCGAGAACAGATGTCCTCTCTGACATATACGCAAACTCCAGCCCGAGGCACAAGGAGTGTTCCAGTTTGTACCCCGGGTAGAAGAGATACGAAGCATCAGCAGGAGATCTGCATCTGATCAGCATCACCTGCGTCTCGGTCAGAAAGAGCAGAGCCGGCCTCGCCGTTTCGAGATGGTAGTAGACGGTGTTTAGGTTAGAATGAAGACATTGCAGAAATTCACAAATAGCGTGGCAGGGGTCGCATTGGTCTTGTTGCTCAGCTTATCCTGAGCGTATTTTTGCCCCCCCCCCAGAATACGCGGGGCAGCCTGGGCACCCACGCTCCGGAGTGGAGTAACTTTGTCGTGGATGCTCAGCAAGGGATTCTCCAGGGGTGCTGGTATCCTCCTGGTACCTCCTTGGGTAGTTCTTTACTTAATTCCGCTACCATGAATTGGGCCTTCGACCACCTGCACTCACCTGACGAAACGCG